TATATATATATATATATAGATCTAGATCTAGATCTAGATATCTATAGATATCTAGATATAGATCTATATCTAGATCTATATATATACTGATTTCAAATGTGATTTCAAATTTCAAATGTGGAATCACTAAGAAATGTATTTGTTTTTATGAAAACAATGTTGCATTTTATCAATGTGCCATTGAATTGATTTAATAATAAAGCCAAGACATAACTAATGGTGCAAATGGCTATTGCTGGCTATATTTTCAGCAGCCATGTCTCCAGTGTCCTAATGGTCAACTCTCTTAGCTCATACTTAAGTAATAAGTATACTTAAGCAATCGTGGTTGAATGATAATTGGTTATCAGTAAAATTGTTGTAATTGTGTTAGCACAGCTGAAACATATTATCAAAGTGCAGAAATAAAGGGTCTTTTTTTCTTGGGTTGCAGGGTCCGGGCATTTAAAAAAAAGTTATTCTGGGGTTTCAAAAATGAAATCGCTTTCACTTGAGATCTGAAGTCTATTTCATGTGTCACAATGCATGAAACTTCTTATTTCAGTTACAAAGGTGTCTACTGCTGTCTGGAGAGAAGAGGTAAGCATATACAAGATCTCTTGCCAGGATAGAAAAAACGAAGAAAGCCTAGATGCAAAAATGCACTAGAGTTTATTACATCAGCATCTACAGCCCTACAGGTCTTTCCTGATTTCTTAAAGTGTGTGTAAACCCTTCAAATCAACTTTTATTTGCACCTCTGTTTAATATATCAAATAAAGCATTTTACTACATGTGTGTTCAATAAGTACACAAAAATTCATGTTGATCCTGCCAGAAATTCTGTGAGCTCCTAACTACACTGAACTCCAAAGTATAGTGCTATCAGTCCTGCCCAGTTCACCTATAAAAAAAATTAAACACAAAACCTCCGCCCTCCCCATGTCATTGAGACAGGCAGAAAAGGAAGTGTTTTGCTGTCTAAATGAGAAGTGACCAGCATAGGGTGTCAACGCTGCTCCTCCCTCGATACAGTTTAGCGATTGAGCTTTGTCACCCTAGGACAGGAGGTATATTACTGGTAAGATCACCATGTGAATATAGGCCAAAAAGTCTGGTCGGCTGTAATATATTATATTTTTGTTTGTGTTTAGATACACTTTAAATAGTAAATGGCAACTACCAGTATTCATTTGCAACAGTAAAAAATACTATTCCAAGAGTTAGTGTAAGAGTTTTAAAAAAATGCCATATCCAAAACTAGCTAAAAAAAAAGCTAAATGGGCAAAATGAGCAAAAGAACACCGAAAGTGACTGCAGATGGACAAATGAGACTCATGACGCTTTAGCTGTGAGGATCAAGCAGAAGAACATACTGTATAGACCTTGAACAAATTAGTTGATGTTAGAGGAGTGTTTAAGGCCTTTTGTCAAGCATGGAGGAGGAAATGTAATAGTATGAGGATGTGTTGGTGCTGGTAAGAAGGAAGATTTACACAGACCATATGGATTTATGGATCTTAAAGGTTACCATATACAACATCATCCCATCGCCTGTATAGTCAGCGCTTGACTGGTGCAATTTGGAGATTCAGCAGGACAACGGCCAAAGCTCCACAAACCTATTTAATGAAGAAGCAGGCAACTAAAGTACTAACTTCAAAATGCTGGCCAGCACAATTGCCAGATCTCAACTCCATCCAGCACTTCTTTATAATTAAAAAATAATAATACTCTGCAAACCGTCACACCTACAGAAAGAGCTATACAGAAGGCTGGCTTGACATTTCACCTATCTTTCCAAATTGACATTTAGGAGGCCAAGGATCTGCGACGCTTCGATTGATGCACATGGAGGAATATTTAATGAATGTAACCTTTCATCAATATTCAATATAACTATAATATTAAATAAAATAACAAATTGTGATGACACTGCCAACCCATTGAATTTCTGATCAACCCAAAGTCGATAAAAGTATCGAATGCTGTCAAAAACATGTAAACAACTTGTAAAAGAGGAACTATAGGTTTGAAAGTGCGGAGCCTCCCAGAAATGTTCAAGTTGTCCTCCTTTCTTTCAAATTCAGCAATATCAAGCACCGATCAAACACTTTTACAGGTTATTAAATGGAACCAGTATGCTCCTTTAATTAACTTGAAACTAAAACTAAACTGCCTTGATGGCTGGGCAATTTTAATGTTTATTTAATAAGGACAAATCAGGGCTGCGGAAACATTCCTGCATATTTCCTGGCTGCCATCTAGAAGAATTATTCCTGATTTCCTCCTGCATTTCATTCTATCCCTGATAATAAAATATTTCGTTGTACAATTAAAACTGCGTGGGACTTATAATCAGGAGTCCACCATGACATACCAACAACATTATCAAAGCTACCCAACAGAACACATACCTATTTATCCACAGAAATGACACCAACTGTAGCCAATATTAACCATTTATGCATTGCACTAATTCCACTTTAATCTATTGCTACAAAAAGTAAGGAAAAGGAACAATGTCTGCTCTTCCAAACTCTACAAAGATACTGAAGATCTGAAGTTCAGCTTCTTGTCACAATGCATGCACAAAACGTTTATGAAATACTTTCAAATGCTGAATGTAGAAAATCCAAATTCTTGATTGCTATCTCTGATTAGAAATTGTCCTATCAATATGATATTTCATGGATTGGAATAGCTGTGGACAGCGCTGAGATGATGCTAATCCCACACTGACATTGCATTTTTGCATGGAAGTGGGGAGAGTCCACGTTCGTTTCATTTAGAAGCGTGTAAATGAGCTGTGTGCATATATCTGGCTTGATGTAAACGATCCGGCATTGCATTGTATTTTAAACATACTATTGCAATATCCAGCACCTATTATCCCAGCTAATAAATTTGACCTATTGTTCGTTTGTTAAAATGATGTCACCTTCGAACAGTCCCTAAGCTACTGTTTCAATGAATTGCCAGCTGATGAAATCCGGGAGCCAATGGCGAAACAGAGGCTTGCTTCCTTGCGCCAATCCGAAAGCCAGGAAATACATTCGACGCTGAAACTCGAGGTTTGGTTCAAAAGGATGACACAGAGACTATCGGGCTTGACCAAGCTTGGCAAAGTTTCAGTGTGCCTAGATCAGGACGTACATGGAACTACTATAAAGAAGGACGGGGATTGTCGTGCAGGAATACATGCGGCTTTAGCCAATTTTTCTATTGACTGAGGATGGATCAGCCCACAAATACACAGACCCAACATCAACATGAGCCCATCAGCTTTGGGATTGACCAGATTCTGAACAATTCCGACCAGGAAAACTCTTCTCAAGTTGCTCCCCGAGGCTCGGACAACGCCAGTTACCTGAGCAGTCCGGTCAGCCGCTCAAGCGCCCCTTATTCCTCGCTCACTGCCTCTTTCCCTTGCATCGGGGCAGCCTTTGACGACTCGGGATCTTACAGTGTAAATCTAAGTTTAGCTCCAGCTGGAGTGATCAGGGTGCCAGCTCATCGACCTATCCCTGGTGCGGTCCCACCTCCCATTTCCAGTGCCATCCCAACCATGCCAGCTGTGCCCGGCTTTGGCAGCCTTAACTTCCCCTGGATGGAGAGCAGCAGAAGATTTGTTAAAGAACGATTTTCAGGTAAGAACAATGCTCACTGACGAGATGATTTCCTGGAACTAGTACGGCTCCATAATAATATTTGGAGAAAAGGATACAGCGATGATAGATAGATAGATAGATAGATAGATAGATAGATAGATAGATAGATAGATAGATAGATAGATAGATAGACAGACATGTGATTTTTCTGTAAATCCTCTTAGTTCACCTAAATATTCTTGGCAAAAGTTCCATTGGTCCCTTGTTTCATTGGGACACTGATTGATTTATCTGACTAGTTAGTTAAAATATTTATAAATAAATAAAAACATTA